GGGCCCCGGCAGGCCCTTCGAGGCGGGGAGCACAACGTTGCGGGACGCAAAGGCCCTCGAGCTTTCCCCACCGGTGATGGGTGGGCGGCGGCTCTCACCCCGTTTTTGCCTGAGAATAGGGGTCCGGGTTCATGCAGTGCTACGATCCCTGGCGGGGGAGTGCCCCCCCCCCCGAGGAGGGAGGCAAGGAGGCCCCCCCTTTCGGCGAGGGGGGTGGCTCCGGGGGCGTTGTGACGCCCAGCCTCGAGGCCCTCGAGGCGGGTTGGGACACCCCTCCCCGGTGGGAAAAGGGGCAAAGGGCACCCCTCCCCGGACCCATGAACCTCCCGAGAAGGGAGCCCCCTCCCGATTCAGTCGAAAATTCCCCAAGTGGGCCGAGCCTTTAGAGGAAATGATATATAAAGACCCGTAGATTGATATAGAAAGGGGAACGGGAAGAATTCATAGCCTGGCTCGAACTGGACTGTGGACCCCAAAACGGGGTACCATGGGTGGACCGGGGAGACAGAAAAGAGTTTTTAAATGAAGTTCAAGAGATGACGGTTAACGGGGGAGGGACACACACAGACACACACATTTGGAGTCAGGGTAGGGCATTACGTTATTAAGGGCCAGGCCCCCCGCCCCCCCCCCCCCCCCCACCACCACCCACGGTACAGAGGAAGAGAGAATCACTGTCGGAGTCGTGATTTCTTGTTCGATAGGGAAAATTGATGAGCCGAAAGTTCGAAATTGCAAGCACGCACGCAGTCCGTTATAACCGACAACCGTTCCAACCGCCCTGGCCCGGCCATGCTCTTCGACCGCTCGCAGCCGGCACCCTTCCGCATTGACATCCCCGTCGACGACCTCCTGCCCGCGCACCCTACGCCAGACGAGGTAGCGGCTGAGAAGCGTGCAGTCCTCTCTGCTCCTCGCACTGCCAAGTCCCCGGAGGCTCTGGCGCGCGCAGAGAAGCTTGGGGCACTGCTCCATGAGAATCACCTTTTGGCAGTGCAGCAGCGCGCCGCCCGCGAGAGTGAGCGCGCTCGTGAGGCAAAGGCTCGCCGCCTTCGGCACGAGGAGTCGGAGCGGCAGCGGCTGCAGGCGATAAACGCCCCTCAGCCTCGAGCCCCTCCCGTGGACTCTAGCCCCACATCCGTTTGTCGGCCACCCACCCGCCGCAGGCACGCCTCGACCGCGCCGCGTCCCGTGACAAGTCCCACGGCGAGGCCAAGGCGTCCGAGGCCGCGCTCAAGGCCCTGCTCCGCACGCAGAGGGCGGAGGAGGCGCGAAAGGCACGGATTGCCGCCGAAGAGGCGCGGTCGGAGAAGCTGGCCTCCCTCTCGGCTCGCGTGGAGGAGTCGGTGGAGCGCAAATCCAAGCTGGTGGCGGCGACGCAGGCGAAGAATGCATACCTCGTCAAGCGCGCCCTCGCCGTCGTGGCCGCCCACAAGGAGCAGCAGCGCGAGG